TGCTACAGAAACTTCAAGCCACTAGCTTGAAGCCCTATGTTCCACTGGAGAACGTGAAGGAAAAAAAATATGATAAACTATTTCATAAAACTTCCTTGTCTAAGAAAGTTCTAGTGTTAATTAATGCAATGACCGTTGACTTTTAATACGTATGAATGTTATAGCAACGACTTGGACAGAGTTGAGCTTGAAATTCACATACCAATTTTTTTCAATGCTTTGCGAAATCCGCGGATTATAGCAGGGGACAGTGATTTTGAAATGGGTAGCAATATTGAGGTTAGGCGTTGGTCGAGTGCTAGGTAAGGAGGGGAAACCAACTGACGAGGCTGTGAAGCTACATTGACTGAGATGGTTAGGACATGTGTTACGCATGCACGCCTATCCACTGCCTTCCTCGACGAGGAATGTTAGCTGACATAGGATCCATCAGATTGGAAAAGAGCCAGTGATGGTCAAACCAAAACCAACATGGCTTCATCAGTCAATGAAATCCACAACAGTGAGCTTAAGCCAATCAGGTGTAGATTTCTTGGCTGAGGTCGTCGAGATAATAAAAATCAATGAAGGCTGGAGACAATTGGTGATATGGCTCAAAATCGTTCTCAATGGTTAGTGCAGATGCATCTACTCCTTGTGACTTATTATACCCAATGAAACTATACTGTTCTTCGGTGCTACTATTCCTTACATCTCTGTTTTCTATCTCTATTTTGCATTTCTCTTTACTTTTTTCCTCTTTGCTGGCCTTATGTGCTGAGTGAAGTGTGGCAACTCGAAGTGCTGCACATCGTTGCAAAGTTCTGTTGAAACCAATCAGCCAGCAGTAACAAATTAATACATGAATGATAGTCATAGATATTACAGAAACACTTTTTAACAATACCCTCTTTGGCAGTTTTCATACTTTATGAACTACCCTGGCTAATACTCTTATTGTCCTTCCGTTCTTAGAAAGGGGTGGGGATCAAGTTGTCTAGATCAAGTGCTGTATCACGTTCCATTAGTTCAAGCTTATTCCAGGCCTTCGTTTCGTTAGACGGATAGGTGTCGACCACTTTTTGAGTACTAAGCTTTACACTAATAAACACTGATGTTATGTGGTAGAAAAACTGATTTTTAAATTGCTCGACCGATAATCCCGGGCATTATTATTGCCATATGCTTATCTTGACACAAGGTTTCAGGCAACACCAAGCATTTCAATGTCTGTAGCTTGGATAAACTAGAACAGTTTTCAACTACTGGTGGATTCACTTGATGTTTCCATCAAACTCGTAGGTTGTGACCAGTAGGTCACGCAGTCCTTCATAAGTGCTTCATAATTCTAGGCCTAAGAGCCTTATATATAGACTGTTGTAGATGTCTGCTTTCTATCTCCCATATTAGGTGGTATAATAGGGTGAGTAACTCTGAAGTTAAGCGTTGAGTGTTAGGTAAGGTGCTCAAGTCAATGGATGAGATTGTGAAGTTACATCGACTGAGACAGGACGTGTATCACACATGTCTAGCCATCGCCTTCCTCAATGACGAACTTAAGCTGACATAGGATCAGGTTGGAAGACAGCTAGTGGTGGTCAAACGAAAACATGGAATCAATCCATGAAGTGTTTGGTAGTTAGTTCCAGCCAGCTACGCAGGCAGAGGTAGAGTTCCTGGTTGGGGTCCTCAGGATTCTGAGAACCAATGGCTGGAGACAATTGGTAATATCGCTAGAAATCGTTTTTAATGGCTTGTGCAGATGCATTCACTCTTTGTGATTCCCCATATTCATTACACGGTATTATTTTTCTATGTTAATATTCTTTCTCTCTTATATTTCTGCTTAGTATAGATTTTTTAAATCTCCAATTTCTTCCTTTCTGTGCTACATGATATGTGGCAACTCTAAATGCTGTACTTTTGTGAAAAGTTCTATGTTGAAACAAGTCATATAGGCTGTTATAATTCTACCCGCTAGAATGGATATGGAGGAATTGCAAGGGGCAAACTGTCGCAGGAGTTCAATGTTTATTATTAACAAATTCTTCTACGAAAATAGCCTAACCCAACATCTAAACGGTGTATGACTGACTGGTTTCCACATAGAACTTTGCAACGATGTGCAGCAGTTCAAGTCGTCACACTCCCTCTATGTAGCACACAAAGCAAGAAAAGAAAGTAAAAGAAATGCAAAACAGAGACAGTAAACAGAGGTATGAGGTAAAAAGAATAGTAATGTCGAAGAATAATATAGTTTTTCTGGAAATTATAAGTCACAAGGAGTGGATGCATCTGCGCCAGCCACTGACAACGACTTTGAGCCATATCACCGATTTCCTCCAGCTTTCATTGGTTTTTTAGCATCTCGAGGACCCCAACTACTAAGGAAGCCTACACCTACCTAAGTGGCTGGACTGGCTTAAACTAACTGTTGTGGATTTCATTGACTGATGAAGTCATGTTGGTTTTGGTTTGATCACCACTTGTTCTGTTCTAACCTGACCTTATGTCAGCTAACACTGCCCGTCGAGGAAGGCACGGTGTCTAGTAAGTGTGCTTCTAATAACTGTCTACACTATTGAGGATAAGTATATACCTTTGCATCCATCTCTGTTCAATACTAAAGTGCAGAAGTAGGTGCAACTAACTTGCAATTTTGAAGATATTTCATTGAGCCTAAACGTCTAACTTTCGCACTAAAGTCACATGATGGCACCACGATATCTAGAGTGCCTTTTCATGAGATGTGTTAACTGATGACAGGATTGACTTCAATCTATTAACAGTTTAGAAAGCGATAAAGAAAGATGTTGACCTGTTTGTCATACATTTCTTATCACATCTAAAACCTTTAGCTTAACTACACACGAAAGACTACTGAAGAATACCTATTCGAGTATTTTACTCTCAACTCTATCACTTTGTGTAATGCTGACATCGGCAAGGCAGGATACTGTCGGAGTAAGATAACCAAATGAGTTCATGTGAAGGGTACAATTAGAGCTGACAAACATAGACTTTTTAAAACCACTTTACTGAAATCTTGAATCCACGTCTGTAAGATGCAGCAAACATCAGTAACGAAGTTTCAGGGCAAAGCTTGTCTTCATCTCAAAACGAATATTGTAGAGCTCAAGTTTAGACAGAATATGTGGTGTCATCCAAGACAAGTAATGCAATTGAACTGTTTATCAACTGGAAACAGACTGGTACTATAGATAACGAAGTATGGTTGAATGAAATAAAAATTCGGTATGACCATTATTTAAATTCCGTTACCCAAAAAAGGTCTTACATGTATCAGGCTTTAAGCCAAAGTCATAGTATGAGGGCTGATACTACCCAGCTAACCAGGCTGTAGAACATGCAACAAGATTCCAACAAAAGGCCCATTGGCTATGAGTTGAGTGCTTAAGCTAATCAGCCAGATATAAAAACTAAAAAAGTCATGAGGCTCATATGAAACAAACACTTTTCAAGAACTATATAATTGTACTAGTTAGGAGATATAATTACACTTCGTAATAGGAATGATAAGGAGTTTCGAAGTGTTAAAGTAGAGCTTTACCGTTTTAGTGTTACCACACTTCCTCAAATGTTAAAATATAAAAGCCTAGAAGCAGGCAGGTGAATGTGATAGGAAACTAATCCATGAACCTCTAACCTGAAACCCTTATTAACAAAATAGCAGGAGCTGCACTTAACTGATTATCTGTGACTAAACGCATACAGTTTTGAAAAATGTCTCGTGGAAGATTGCATAAAGTTTAATCAAAGAGAGCTTTAAGAATTATCAGTGCAGTACCCTTCCACTACTACCTGCTTCAAGAATACTGGTTCTTTTCCTTCTAATGTCACAATGGGTATTTTCCACGATTTGAAAGAGTACACAGCGAAACAGGGGAAAACTAATCAGTAAGGACTGATCTGGTTTCTATCTGGTTTTCTGATGTATTAGGTATATGTTTACTTTATACCAGACACTTAGATATTGAGTTATATAATGCAATCCAACAGTATTTTTTTGGTACTATTAAATTCCAGGAAAAGCGTGGTAATGCACTTAGGTCAGAGGTTTCACACGTTGTACTCCTTTAGGGACACAGAGCTACCTGATGCAAAAGGATGAAAGGATTTCGGAATTATTGTCAGCCATGATTTGAAAGCAGCTGCGACGATAATGCAGCTGCAGCTAAGAATTTTCGAATACTGTGGGCACTTTTAAAGGCTTCCAGACGATTAGATGAATCTATGTCAAAAGTAATCCACACAACATATGTCAGGTCTCACTTAGAAGACTGTACAAACGGATAGTCTATGCCTCAAAAAAGAAGCGCGTGTCTTAAAAAGAATAAAAAGGGTGGGAGCAGAATCGGTCAGTGGTATCTAACACCTTTATGAGAACATAATGGAACGTCTAATTCTCTCCCCACCATCATGCCGAAGAAGAAAAGTTGACTTGATTTAGGCGTACGATAACACGAATAACACAGGTCACAAGAAAGTACTATCTTTGATCGCCTGAATTTGAACCATTAGGTTATTGGAACTAAGTTGTCAGTGGAAATCGACATTGGGGCGGAATTGTTTATCGAAATGCTTAAAGCTGTATACAAAGTATCTCAGATAGATTTACATCATGCAACAATCTATGTCCGGTCTTCCAATCACTTCGTGGGGTTAAAACTAAGTGAAAATGCAACTCAGAGATCTGGAACAAGTTAATATAAACATTTCGCATACGGATTCAGACCTTATTTAGGCAGATAGGGTAGCAAACATGTTTCTGTCAGTTAGAAGTCAGAATCTAAGGGTTGTAATAATAATAATAATCACTTTATTCCACGACAATAAAAATTTACAGCATGGAATTTTCAGCGAGAATAACCCATATAAAAGTCACATCGCCGGAAGAATCTCTTCCAGAAAGCCTAACAAAGTGACGACCTTATAACAAAGAAACTTTATCCTCAAAGTAAAAACTTGGAACATTAACAAACACAAGCAAACAAACTCACACTAAACAAGAATCTTAGAATCCAGATATCTGTGGTTAAGTAGCGCACCATATAAAATGCGCTCCAAATTATGTGATTCGAATAAACAATAAGCACAACGTAAATACAGCTTAAGTTTAGAAGTAATGTTCATTTTTTATGCAAAATCTTCAATAAAGTTACTTGTTAACTTAACTGTGAAATTTTTTAAGGTCAGATCGATATTTATCTGTGCATATAAAAAGGAATCATGGATTTTGTTATCTACATAAATTGTTAACAACATGATGTTATCCATCCACTTTCTCCTTTTAATTTGCATGATCCCACTATACGCAATCCCTTCTGTTTATTATTCTCACTCAGAACCACTGACTTATGCATATGATATCCAACCTTATGATAGACGAAATCCTAATGTAGACAATGAAGATTACTCTATTCCTGAAGAATTTATCTCAGAAGCGAAGAGAGGAGACTTAAGAACAGGTGAAAAACGGAAAAAGATTGGGCCTGGATTTTATTTTGGTTAAAAATGTGTTACAATGTATGTTCAGACATTTAGAATCTTGTCGATAATGAAATAAATGACGTGTTGAAAGTGACTAATGCCTTTTTTTATTCCCGTCTTGAGTTTATCTATCGCAAAAATTATATGAGAAGAAAGTTATGGAACGTTTAATAAAGGCTTAATGTGCAAAGTATTTTAATTTTCTCACTCTTTTCGTTCATTACATATATATGCATGCCAGTATTCCTTTAGGCCTTGCAAGTAATCCTTATGTATCACGTCTCACTGTGGCAACATCGATCATACGAAGTAAGCATCGTATCTCTTCACTTTAATATTCAGTTCATAGGGAGTAATTTATAAAATGCATAATATCTTCCAGTCCATTTTCATTTTAATGTCTTTTAGAAACGATTACCTAAGAGAAATTCTAATTTTTCACTTTCAAGTCTCCTTATGATTGTTTTCAAAGTAAAATTTCATGAATTTTTCTCTAATGAATTTCAGGGGATTATATTTTTCGGTAAGTAGTATAATATTAAGTTCTTCGGGTGGAATTATTAATTTATGAATTGAAATCTTTTCCCTGATATACTATTTATGATAACATAAATAGAAACATTAAATATATCCGATGAATATAGAAATTAATGATAAATTAGTTATGCCACTTGTTTCTATTGTTCTGACAACCAATTTTTGGGTTATGCTCTTTTGATTTTTTCAAAATTCAATGTAAATCACTGAAATTTTTATCTACCCTCTAGCATTTAAATTTACTAAACTGGGATTTTGTTTGAAATATTATATTTTGAAGATATATCATGCTCAAATATTATGACTAGATTCAAAATTCATTGTTTAAATGTCATTTACTGTAGGTTTAAATAAGCTCCATCAAAGTGTTTGTTGATAAGATTACTTTAAGTATTCAGTTGCATTATGATAGGTATATTACTTAAAATAAAAGGCTGAAATTTCTTAAGACATACAGAAGCATAAAATGTACTTTTTCAGATAGTTAAATTGGTTGATTTTGGGACTTTTACATTATAATGGAAGCGCTAAGTAGTGTTAGAAGCTCAAGATATCACAAGCATCGAATGGTAAACCAGTAGTTTCTTCAGTTAATATTTAGTTATTACTGTCGTTATTAATCTACTTTTTAACCCCAGGTTAATTCATTTTGGTAACTGGAATGTGCACTGCATATATTTAAATTTTTGTCTACACTGGCAGTTTCTTGAAGACATAAGCCTAAAGCAATCATAATATATATTTAAAATTGTGTAGAGAACAGTCGATCAATAATAAAATATTGAAGAATAACCTTGACCCAATGTTATCAGCATTAAAAGTAATGAGGTCGTTCACAGCATCTCCTCCCAGCAATGGGACTACCTGTAGCTAAGTCGTCTGTCGATATGCTCATCTATTGAAAAAAGGAAATTCGTTGAAAAAAGTTTCTTCGCTGAATATTTTATTTTTAATATTGCAATCGAAATTATTGAATTATTTAATAATAGGATGTATTACTTAACTATTTTACATTAAAGTATGAGCCGGAAACATTTTTTATGTGACATCTGTTTGGATGGCTTCTGAGTTCTTGTCAGTCTGTGACATTGAATGTTTTGCAATTAACAGTGTTCTCTGAGCTGGTCGGTTTGGTTGTGGAGCTTTCGTCGTTCCCCCTCTAGACAACATCCCCTTTCAGCGCAATATTTAGCACAAAGTGAACTGATTTAAATTTCTTCATGAGTCATATAATTGCGTCTCCTGGTAACTATCTTTACATATGTATTGACAATTTTCTATCGACTTGGATTTTAGACTTTCTGGTAACCTGATTTACTTTTTATTAGTTGGTAGATTTCGTCTATAGTAACATGTTTGTTAATTGCATTTTCGTTTGACTACGAGGCTTCTAGGAATTCCCTGACTGCACTTTTGGTGTTTCCTCTGTCTAAGATTTCGACATTATACCAATCAAATTGATGACCATAATTGTCTATATGCATTGATACTAAGGAATACATATCGTGTCTTTTCACGGCTGATTTGTGTTCTTGGATTCTAATTTGAAGGGGACAACCACTTTGGCCGATGTAATGCTTGTTGCAGTTCATACATGCAATTTATTTTGTAAATGGTATTAATTTTATCTCCTTTTTCTGTTGGATCTTTCGGTCTGCATAATATCGAATTAAGCGATTTGACTGGCTTGTGTGCTATATCTATATCAAATGGTTTCAGTATTCTAGCTGTTATTTCAGAGATATTTCTCATGTATGGTAGGATGAGTTTTCTTGTGGTCTTTGATGACGGTTCCTTGTTGGTGTTTTGATTCGACTTTAAACACTTTTTGATGAAATTTTGTGGATAACCATTCTTTTTGAAGACCGTTTGTAGGCATTTTTCTCCCATTCTTTTCAACTCTGGAGTGCTACAATGTGTTTTGAACTATTTTAAACAATGTCTGCACACAGTTTCGTTTGTGAGTAACTGGATTATTGCTAGTATAGTTGAGTATTTGATCTGTATGCGTTGATTTTCTATATACTTGTGTTTCTAAATCTCCTGTGTTGGTTCTCCTGATCAAGACATCTAAAAGTGGGATTTTGTTATCTAGTTCTTCTTCTCTTGTGAATTTGATGTCTTCAAATATGTTGTTTATTAATTTATGAGTATATTCTAAATCATTTCTCTTAATTATTACAAATGTATCATCAACGTAATGTACCCAGATTTTCGGTTTAATTATAGGTAGCGGTATTAATTCTAATCTTTGCATAACGCCTTCAGCTATTCATCCTGATATGGGCGATCCCATTGGTATTCCTTTTATTTGTTCATATATTTGAGTATTGAATTGGAAGTACTTTGTAAGGCATAATTTTATGAGTTCTATCCAGATTGATAATTGCGTTTTTATGTTTTCATCACATTAGAGTAATTGTTGCATAGTTTCTGTTGCTACTTTTTGACTAATTGAAGTATATAATGCTGTGACATCAAAGGACACCATTATTTCATTGTCTTCTACTTGAATGTTTTTGATTTTCTCTAAAAATTGGATTGACGAATTGAATGTTGTTTCATAGGCATCTGTTGATCGTCTCATATCCTGTTGATTTCCAGGAGGAATTTCCACCTGCCTAATTACATAAAGAAGTTGAAAGTTTCTCCTGCTATGAATAACTGAACCTTTTCTCTTACAATTTACTAATTCATGCATTCTGCTCATTCTTCTTTATTGTCCCCCCCCCCACTTATTCTCCCTTGGACTTCTCAAAAACGGCTATGTCATATTAAGCAGAACACTGAAGACTGTAAGTAGGGTTAGTGGTGTGTGCCTTTGACTCCGCTGACTGACATTATTGTCAGTAGGCACTTGAATTCTTGCAAGCAATTGGCTAAAGTTATCTTGTCTGATACTGAACATTCTCTCTCTACCTATTCGCAACTATTTCCTAGAATCTCTCCACGGGCAGAACCAGAAGAAACTTCACAAGAATTTCTGTTCGTACAGCTATTGAATATAAAAATTCTACCATACCACCATATTTAGCACGGGTTTTGTGGGTGAAAAGAGAGTCCGATGTCAGAAAAGAACTTATAAACTACTTAAATCAGTAGTAACTGAACTGCAAAGTGAGAATAAGCAGAGATTATTGCTATTACATGTGTTATCTATGATCCTGTCTACTTATACTTCATTATGTTTCCATCAACATTCTGTTTATAGTGGTTTTATTATTATTATTACTATTATTATTCAGGCTTCAAAATCAAACATATAAAATTTAGAAAAAAATCTCCATTTAGACATTTAGAAAACAGAAAGATTGAGCGAAGAAAAATATTTACTTTTCAATTAGATCCTCATCTCTCTCTGGATCTACTCTAATATATTCTGTATAGCATTTTTATTACAATACACAACAGTTTACCAAACAAGTGGCACTGATATGTTTGTTAACAATAATTAGTCAGTCAGTGTCAACATGTCAAGCAGTGGGGTGATAATTAACGAAGAAAATCAATAAACACACAATTAAAAGGTAGAAATGGTTAGAATAAATTAATTTTACAAGGATAACATGTCGTCGTGTTTCCTAAAATCATCCATCATGGTTGAGCAAGGGACAAACAAGATCTATTCGTAGTTCCATTTTAGCACACCTTGAAGACACCTACTGAGCATAAGGTTGATGTTAATACAGCATTTAAAATTATCTATCGCATTCCTACAAATCTTCATTTTACTCTACGAGATCGTCTTCTACAGACAGCTGAAGCAATAGGAATCCACCTGAAGAAGCCAAACCTGTGTGTCCGGAAGAAATTTGTGCAGCCACTTTCCTTGCCTTGGCCGTCGTTACATGAATGTGTAAACCGGACTACTTCGCCTCCCTCCCCATAAACCTTTAAAATTATGAAAATTATAATTGTCTAAATTATTTTCTCTGACCATTTCAACTTTAATTACATGTTATCCTTGTAAAATTAATTTATTCTAACCATTTCTATCTCTTAAATTTGTACTGATTTTCTTCGT